TCTGGAAGAATTGTGTGGAATTTATATTATTTCTTCCTGAAATGTTTGGTATAATAGAATTCAACAGTGAGGACCTCTGGACCTAGAGGTTTTTTGTAGGAAGGTTTTTTAGCTAATGTCTTTGATAGGTACAAGGTTATTTAGGTTGTTAATTTTGTTTTGAGTAAACTTTGGTAGTTTTCTCTTTCAAGGAATTTATCCATTTTATCTAAGCTATAAAATTTATTAGTATAGATTATTCATAATTTTCCTTTATTTTAATATCTGTGGATATTGGTAATTTGTGCCATCATTTTTCCCCTAATCTCAATGTGCCTAGAGGTTTATCAATTTTATTGATCTCAGAGAAGAACTAGCTTTTGGTTCCATTCATTTTTCTGTTGTTTTTTTGTGTTCTATTTCATTGGTTTCTGTGCTTTTTATTTCCTTCCTTCTGATTACTTTGGGTTTAATTTTCTCCTCTTTTTCTAGTTTTTCAAACCAAACCCTTAGGTCATTCATTTTATAGCCTTTTTCTTTTCTAATATAAGTGTTTAACGATACAACTTTCCCTCTAAACCCTGATTTAACTGTATCCCATGAGTTTTGATATGTTATATTCTCATTTTCATTCATTTCAAAATATTTTCTAATTTCCTTCAAGTTTTCTTCTTAATCCATTGGTTATCTAGAAGTATGTTGTTTAATTTCCAAATATTTGGTGGAGATTTTCCAGATGTCTACTGATTTCTAATTTAATTTCATTGTGGTCAAAGAACATAAATTTCAGTCCTTTTAAATTTTCGACACTTGTTTTATAGCCAAGAATATGGTCTGTTTTTGTAAACGTTTCATCTATACTTTAGAACAACATGTAGTCTGGTGGGGAAAGTGTTCTAAGTCAAGTTGATGATTAGTGTTTGAGTCTTCTATATCCTCACTCATTACTCATTTTCTGTCTAACTGCTCAGTTATTGAGAGAGAATGTTTAACTTTCCAATTATAGTTACTGATTTGTCTTTTTCTTTCAGTTCTGTCAGGTTTTGCTTCAAGAACTTTAAAGCTTTATTATTGGGATTATTATGCCTTCTAGATGAATCAATCCATTTATCATTATTAAATTACACTCTTTGTCCTTGATAATATTCTTTGCTTTGAAATCCACTTAACTGATGTGAATATAGACACTCTAGATTTCTTTTGATTTGTATATGCATGACATGCTATTTCCATCCTTTTAACTTATGTGTATCTTTATATTTCAAGTAGATGTTTTGTGAACAGCATATAGTGTGGTCCTGCTTTTTTATCAGTCTTGACAATCTCTTTTAATTGGAATGTTTAGATAACTTAATTGATATGCTAATAATATATTATTTTTCTATTGTTTTCTGTTTTGTCCCATTTGTTGTACTCTTTCTTTCTCTTTTCCTACTTTTTTTTTTTTTTTTTTT